GCCTCGCTTCGCTCGGGCGAGCGCCTAGCGCCTCGGGCGTTTTTGGACCTTGGCGCCTTTTGGCGCCTAGCGCTTTTTAAATCACTGAGAAAAATAGTGAAGTCAAGGTTTTGAGACATTAGCATAGAACTGTAGTTTAGACTGTTGGTGGATGGCTTTGGTGGAGTTTGGATGGTTATAAGTTGCGAATATGGCAAACAGTTCTTTTGAAAGTTTTTAAACTGTAATTTTTGAGGATTATGGTTAATTGTGGCATTCTCTGCTTATCGACTCCACTGGCACTCGAAACAAAACAAACTTTTGTTTGTAGGAAATCCATGCTTATGGTAAAAGAGATTGTTCTTTGGGGGTCATGATAAAGTAGAATTCTGGGATAATGAGTCATTGAAGCAGGTATAGTTTATGCTTATATTTATTACTTCAATTTTGTGTGGTACATGTGCCTGTCATATTATTGATCTTTGTTTTTTAAAAGCCATCCAGTGGAATGAACATGTTATATAACTTTGTAGCATCGCTGTTTTTTAAAAGCCATCCAGTGGAATGAACATGTTATATAACTTTGTAGCATCGCGAATCCTAGGCTGTATCACACTGAAGGCATTTTATCTCTATTTTTCCTTGTAGCTAGAACTTAAACCTTAGCAAATTATACATGCGTGTTCATGGAATCTATAAGAACAATATAAATCTGACCTGGAATTTTGGGTGTGGATCCTTATTTTAGATTATAGATTGTACTCATTTTGGATTGAATAGCTCATTGTGTCAGATTCTGATTTGGGATCCTAGGAGTCTTTGACCTGAGTCTAACCGGATAAACCCCTTTAAGTATATTCTTAGAAAAAATAAAGAAGGAAAAAAATATGAATATTACATTGTACCAAGTCCCCTAATTTACATGTAATGAAATCCAAGTGTCCCTACGAAACTAACATATTATGTTCTTCCAGGTGGAAAAAGCTTTTAGAGAAGGTACGGCACGGCAAAATGCACACTGTACATTTGTTTGTCTTGCCCTAGAATTGCTGGAAGAGCGTCTTCATGTTGCTTGCAAAGAAATTATTACATTAGAAAAGCAGGTAATCTAATGTTGCTGGGTTATACAGTTTGGATTAAGACCACATTTTTCCACAGTTTGGATTAAGACCACATTTTTCCAACGACAATGGCAGGAACGCCATGTGAAGTGGCAATGTTATCTCATGGTTTTACATTTTAACTTTCATCTAGTAAATATTTCAGACTAAGCTTCTTGAGGAAGAGGAAAAAGAGAAACGCAAAGAAGAAGAACGCAAGGAGAGGAGGAGGACAAAAGAACGGGAAAAGAAGCTTAGAAGAAAGGAGAGGCTGAAAGAAAAAGGGAGGGAAAGGAAGCTTATTGAATCAAAGTCACTTCATGCTGCTTTGCCTGAATCTAAAAATAAATCATCCCCAAGTACTTATGAGGAGTCAATTATCATTCCTGATTCTGCAGATTTTGTTGGTGTAACAGGAGATATTTCTCTGCTCGAGTTTCCTGTTTTTCCTGATGTTACAGATGAACAGTCATCAGGTGGAAGTATCAATATGAAGACTGATGATAGTCTACAACAGCAATCTGATGTTGATGGAAAATTCTATACGAAGAGTGGATTGTCTTTTACCTCTGAATGTACAAAATCATTGAGGCGGAAATTGAGATCTAGGAAAGAGAACTTTTTAGAGCAGTCATCCAACTGTTACGATAGACATCGATTTTATATTAGCAATGAGAGCAGAGATCAGCAAGATGAAACTGATATCAGTACGTCTTGTTCCAGGGGCATAAATGGCTTGCACTGGCCATCAAGAGAAAGGTTTGTAATGAACAATCATAGGAAATGTGCTCTGAAATTCAATGAGAAATCTCACTGTGCACATGCCAGAGTTCAAGGTAGATTCGACTTTCAGTGTTGTAACTGTAGCTGTAATAAAAGGGATGATTACAATGAAAAGGATGGGTATCACATTTTTACGATTAGATCAGGTAGGGAGAGGAAGACTGCCAGTAGAATTGAACGCGAACTGGATATGCCAAGGTCTTCCAGTCGCAATGTTAGATACAATAATGGTTGTTACTTTTCAGATAATTTTGTCGTTCCAAAAGGAAAGCATGTTGGTGATACTCCAGGCAAAGAGATTCTCCATACAAAGCAGGTTTGGGAGCCACTGGATACACATAAAAAGATCTCTAAAAGCAACTCCGATTCTAAAATCACCTTCAGATGCATTAGTAAGGTTGAATCCTCCAAAGAGATTTGTTTTGACAAAGGTGAAAATGGGTGTCAGCAATCTAATCAATTTGAATCAGTTGGTAATATGTGCTCATCTGAGCACTCTACCAGTTCAGGCAAAGTTGATACTTTAATTGGTTGTCAGGTTCTCAAGGATCATGATATTCCAGACGGATATTGTCTGGATACCAATATTGCTTGTCAGAATGAATTTGGCCTAGTAAAAAAGACAGAGTATTGTTCAAACAAGGGTATAGAAGAGAATCTCAGCCCCATTAAGATCAATTGTTCTGATACAGTTAGGAGCTCTTCTAGTTCAGATAACTGCTTTTCATGTATTAGTGAGGGGGATAGCAGCACCAGCTCTTCAAGTCTTCAAAATGCAGAATCATCATTATCTTCAGATTCAGAAGATGCTTGCCAACAATCTTGTGCAAGAGATGCATCAGTATGTAATAATGATTCCTTCCATGAATATCTAGATCAATTTCCAGATAAAAAGATTATGACTAATAGAGGTGGATCTTTTGCAAACAGTACTGCTGAATTTCTAGCTGAGAACTTTGTAGAATGTGATTTGTCAGGAGGGAGATCAAAGAATGTTCAGGATTCTAATAATGGACAATTTGGATTTGTTGTGTCCCCTCCACCAAATTGCATGCTACCAATGCGAAATAATAGCATACATGTGCCAGTTATTTCCTCACCAATGGTGGGCTACCATACTCAACATATAAGTTCTTGGGCAGCTTCTCCTTGCAATGGGTTCATTCCATTTCCCCAGGCCAACCATTATCTGCTCCCAACTCTTGGCTGTGGTCTGCCGGCAAACAGATTATCAGATCTCAACATGCATTACAACATTGTACAACCTTTAAACGTTCCTGTTTTTGATGCAAGGAAAGAATTCATGTATCAGACAGGTAACAGAATGAATGTTCGAAACTCAGAAGATCAGAACAAGCATCCCAGTTTTTGTGGTTTTCAGCAATTAAACACTTCTGTTCAACCAATAGGAAGTCAGCGATTTCTTGAAAGGTCATTTTCAGATAGACAGCTACCATCGAAACAATCTGCAGAGCAAAATGGCAGTGCTGAATGTTGTGCTAAATCACACAATGGAAGTTCATCCTTCTCTTTGTTTCACTTCGGTGGTCCCATGGCTGGAACTAATGATGAATTCATTGGGAAACTTCCATCTTTGGAAGATGAAACTACTGGAGGTTTCGTTTCCAACTTGACTACAACTCATGCTCAGCCTTGCTCAAAAGAGGAAATAAAGGTTGAAGAATATTGCTTATTTTCTTCTAGAAATAGTACAAGATTTTCATTCTTTTAGTGCAGGTCATCAGGCAGGTATGCCTTCAGACTTTTCCTGCTCCAGTTGTGAAAGTGTGAGCAATTGGAATCATTATAATAATCTTTGCGAAAAATTTTAGCATATCTTCATTTGTTGGTGTTTACAATTTGTGCTTGATTCAGATTGTAAAAATGAGAACCGTGAGTGATATAGTGGGGTATTTCCTTTTCCCTCCAAACCTCTACTGAATGAGATAAATTTTCCATCATGGATGAATATTTGATTACTAGTATTACATTCTTAGCACCGAGAGCTTGTTCCTTTCACAAGACTTTTTCTTGGTGAGCCAACATTGTTTTGTAGGAGCTCATGGTCATCTTAGCACTGTCATCACTGAGTGGTTCTACCTAAAGATGCATTTGTATTAGCTATCAACAAGCTATGAAGATCTTTTCTAAATCTGGAAGATGCAAAATAAATAGTTAGCTTGTCCTTGATTGTTTATTTGACTTGTCTTCTTTTGGCTTAGATATGCGCCTTAGTTGATTTCCAGTATTGATTTAGATATCCATACAAGCATTTCAAAGGAAAATATTCTGTTCACACAGAGTCATGCTTTATGCAGATAAAATTTTCACTACTCAGTTTGCCCGACCACTAGTTCCAGATCACTAAAGTGGATCTTTTCCTGTTTGTCAGTTGACTTGTATCAGCTACCACTTGAGTTTTATCTTCTACTTGGATGTATGATACTGTCTTTCGAGATTTTTCCCAGATCACAGATGCATTTGCTTAAAATAATCTTCCATTTGATCCACTTCAGGCTGTTCATTTAAGATGATATATGTGAACATCCAAAACCGTACTTCTGATGCCTTTTTGCTTTATTGTGGATCTCTCAACCATGTTTGTCTGGAACTAAATTTTCCATTAGCCTTTTCCTGGCATGTTTCTATTTGAGTATCTTCACAGGTTGGTAAAGTGTAGGTGTCTTGCTGTGATGTTGATCATGAACTGAATCAGTCGGGTCTAGCTTCTCACCTGATTGTAGATCATTTCTTGACTGATCATTGCATGATATTGTCATTTTGTACCCTGTTGAAGTTTAGACTTTGTGATTAATTATTTAATGAGTTCCATGGTTTTTGTGTACACTTTTCTTATATATATATATATATATATATATACATATACATATATATATATATATATATACATATACATATATATATATATATACATATATATATATATACATATATATATATATACATATATATATATATACATATATATATATATACATATATATATATATATATATACATATATATATATATATACATATATATACTTATCCTGGCCGTATCTACAAATTCCACCGGGTAACTTTCAATTATCTGTTCTTGGCAGTGACCTGTTTGTTTGGGACTTAACAGATTGTAGTATTCAAAAGTGTTGAACGCTTGTTGTCGAGCTTGATCTGTTTGGCTTGTTTCGTGAGCACAACTTGGTATTTGACAAAGTGAACTAGACCTGTTATTTATTTATTTTTTTGTAAATCTATAACATGGAAACAATTTACCCATCAACTATCCCATGCTATTGATAAAAAAGGAAGAGCAGCATAAGGTTAGTGGCACATGAAAGTGGGACTGCTACAGATAGTATTTCTTGCAGATATCTTGTGCAATATGTGATTTAATTACAGCCTGTTCACATTTGAACTTTTTATCAATTTTTTTGAACTCGACTACATTTTATTGTCTTTTCAAAGTAAACATAGCTCGTGCAGCGAAATTTGACTTACTGATCTGACCCGATGTGTTGGTCAGTTGATGTCACGATACATGTTGCCCGGTATCAATGTGCCAAATGTGGCACAATGATGCATGTTGATGACATTGAAAAATTCTCAAAAAACCCTTTGAAATTATTTGAAAAATAAAAAAAAATTAGATTACATATTTTATGTTGGAGCTAATTGTAAATTTAGTATCATATAAAATATTCTAAATTAGGGAGGATGGCACATTTTTTTTAGCTTTAAAAAGCAACCTTGTGACAAGTTTGGGATTGTTTTTTTGGTTGATATTGAATTATCTTAAAAAAATAAATAGTTAGATTTTGAGTTAAATTTTAAGATTCAAATGGAGAGTTATAATAAATGAATTAATCGATGGATATTCTTAATTCTACAATAAAAAAGGACTCCATAGGCAATGGATCAGTCCTCATTCATATGTATCTGTATATTAATATGATATGTTTGTTAAACATAATCTCAAGATTGATCCTATGATATAGTATACTGATATTTCGATGTTATTGGTACATCCATGTGGTTATGGTCATTGTGAATTGTACGTGTCCAAGGTGGCTCTCGAAGCAAGTACAATTATGACATGTATTAGTTCGGATGTTGGAGAATGTCAGAACTTTTAGTTTCACCACTGGCCTACTACTTTATATCATAAGATTGATCTTTATATTATTGCTCGAAGAAAAATGACCAACTATCACCGTACTATTATTGGTTGTAGTAAAATCATTTATAATATGTTGATTGAGAATACGATGAGTTTTGCTCTATGTCTATATCGTATAGGCTCTATTACATCTGCTCAAAATCATCGATTGTATTCCCCTTCCCATTTCGTGTTTGAACCTGATCAATATCTTATCGAGCTCCATGATCTGAATCTTAGGTGACATGTATAAAATATTGCTTCTCAATCCATGCACCACCTTTAAATTGAGTAGATAGGGCCATCTAACTTGCTAAGTGTCGTAATTGTTAGTCGAGGCACTATTGTCCACATCACTATCATGTTTATGGACCAAGCGAATTATTGAATGCGATTGAGAAGGTATCGTCACTCGACTCGATTCTTTTTAATGATGCGATTGATACTACTTTCTTCCCCTTTGCCTGTTGGGTAAATGACTATAATGATTGAGTGTCTCTAGTTCCTGAAGTAGTTTAACTTGATATTGTTTGGCTCCTTCCACCACGTTCTAATCAAAGGAGATCTTCCTTTTGTTAGGACCTTTTCGACACTAAGAGGGGGAGGGGAAGTGAATTAGTACTTTCGGAAACTTTCAAAAGTTTAAAAAATTTTTGTTTGATGAAAAATTGTATCGGAAATGTGCTTGACTTAAAATAAATAAACTAAGCAACTAATTCAGAAAGTAATAGCAGAAAATAATAAATAGAAATGCAAACCTAATTTATAGTGGTTCGGTCGTTGTGACCTATGTCCACTCTCAATTCCTTTTCCGTCGAGGCCACCAGCGTACAATAATAGTCTTCTTTTAATGGGCGGAGACCAACTACTCTCTTATAACTCTTTCTTCTTTTCACAGGTTTAAGAGATAACCTTTATAATTCTCAAACATCTCTTAGAATGATCACAAAACTTTAAGGAGGAGAACACACTTAGCACTTTTTCAAGACTTTTACAACTCAGAATCTCAAGACCTTTTGTTCTCTTTTCGTGCTCTTTCAAGCAGGAAAGAGTGGAGTATTTATAGGCCTCAAATGGTTTTAAAATTGGAGCAAAAAATGTTATCATCATGGGTTTTCAAGATACTAGCGGTACCATCAGGGTGGTACTACCGCCTACCAAACTAACAACTAGCAGTACTATTGCCCAGTTTGGGTAGTACCACCACTTGACACAATCTAGGAGACTATATCTAGGTGGTACTACCGCTTAGACCAGCTATGGGTAACTGAATAGGCCTTTCACTTAGCCCAGAACAATCTCAACTCAGGTCCAATGAGCCCCTAATTAAGTTAGCTTGGTTACACCCAAAACTAACTCAATTTACGACCTAACTTCGACAACTAAGATTTAAATAATTTTGAGATATGAAATCTAAGTTGTCTAGCATATCATTAGTTCATTCGAACTCCTAGCAAATTTTCAGCGAAGTTCCAGCATGTTGTCCAAACCTTCGGCGTATCATTTGATCTATTGACATGTTGACTCCCATAACGTCCGATCTTGGCGCAACGTTCGATTCTTTCGACCCGATGCCTGATTTCTAACTTTGACCTAACATCTGATTCTTCTTGCTTTAATTATTTTACCTTTTCTGATCGAAGTTAGTCCTACATCACTTTTCTCACCTCCTAGGCTGGGCGGTTGCACCGTCCAGCACCCGAGCACTGGGCGGTGGCACCGCTTGGCTGGGCGGTGGCACCGCCAGCATCGGGAACATAAGAGAATTCAAATTTTTTGGAGCCCAAATTTGAATCCTCTTGAGGCCTATAAATACCCCTCAAGTCTCAATTGAGAATACAACTTTTTGAGCAGCAAGTGATTGAGAGAAAAGTCTTAGAAGAGTCTTTGTCTTTCTTGTTTTCAATTTGCTAGTGTTCACCTCCTTCTTTCTTGCTGAAAATATGTAAGAGAGTGAACCGCTTGTAAAAGTTGTAAGAGGGGTATTTACCCTTCCCTTTCAAGAGATTTGCTAGTGGAAGTTGGGAGCCTCATTGAAGAGGGGCCTCGCAAGTGGATATAGGTCACTTGACCGAACCACTTTAAAAACGGCGTAATCTCTGGTTTGCATTTCATTACTGCTATTTACATTACTGCAAACCCTCTTACTTGCTTTATTTCCTCATTACATTTACTGCACAACTTTGCGAATACGCTTTCAAGTTAAGCACTTCCGATTCCGA